CCACCCAGCCGCGGCCGTGTGGTGGAGGGTGGCGGCAGAAGGGAGCAAAGATCCATTTCCCTGTGCCTTACGGCAGATCCTAGCATAATAACGATCATTTTATGTGTAAACACCAAATCGTACCGCATCAAGTGCCGAGCTGGTGGTGCCACCTCTCTTGTGGCTGCTGCCACGTTTCTCACACCCATGGTAGTTTGACTCTATGGTAAATGAGGTGAAAATGCAGACTTGCAGGCATTAATCCCAGCTGTTGCGCACGATAAGGTTTAAAACCAGAAGGAGCAAGGGCAAGGTGGGGGTGTTTGGGTTTTTGAGTGAATGGCTGTTCCCCTCCTTACCTTGCTCCTCTCTGTTGCAGATGCAGTGGCCCGATGGCGGGAGGAAGGCCGTGTCGCTGTCTGGCTGCGTGTCCCCATCCTCCAGAGCAAGTTTGTGGCGGCAGCTGCTTCACAAGGCTTTGTTTTCCACCACGCCGAGCACGGCTCATCCACCTTGACCCTGTGGCTGGGAGAAGGGCCCAGCAGGCTACCGGGGTATGCCACCCACCAGCTGGGAGTTGCAGGTTAGTTACAAAAGCGTTTGTGCCCACAAAAAGCCTTTTGAATGAGCCCTTAGGACCAGGATCAGTAGGAAATGGACTGTTCCTCTGTACCATCGGTGCATGGAAGCCAGCTGCTAACTGTTTTGGTAACTTTACGAAGCAAAGCGTGTCATTCATGAACGTGCCTGTACAACAGTGCATGTTGCTGAAAACAGACCAATAAAGAGAGATGTGTTTTCAAAACAATTCCATTTGAGAAAATTGTAAGCTGCTCGGGAAGAAGAAAATGTGGTCCTGAAGCTTTAAAATTTTAACTCATGAATATTGTTTATAAACACCATTTTGAGAAACCTAGCATGGCTTTCAACTTGAAGGTGAGAGAGGTAGGACATCAAGGTTTAAGCAGTTTTGTAAAAGTGAAAAAGTAACTACAGACTTAGAAAAAAAATCACTTGTCTGCTACCTGTCCTTATGTAGATGCTTAATATATGCATCTGCCTAAACTGTGCTCAATTTAAGGTCTGTAAAGGGGGCAAACTTGACCCAACAGGGATTGCTCAGGAGCTGGCACACCTGTTAGCCTGAATCACAACAGTCTAAAAGCTGCTCTAAGCTGTGCCTAGAAGTCCACAACCCAAACAAGTATATTTTACAAACAAACAAACATCTGGACACCATACTCTTACCCATCTAGACCTCCCACAATGACGGTTGGAAAGGAGTTGCTCTAAAAACTGAGGAAATTCCCAAGGAATTAGATAAGATGGTTTCTTTTTTTTTTTTTCTTTTAATATAGCACAGTACAAGGAACTGATGATGAGCCAGAAATACAGTCAACGTGAACTCGGTTTCACCAGATTTGAACATTTTTGCCCTCTCTTTCAGCGGTCTTCCACAAACATGCAATTACCTGTCCATCACTCAGTAACCTCCTGCAATCTGGAGGTTGGCTTGGACCCCTCATGTACTGGTAAAGGCTATGTCACACTCAAGAGTTACAGCAGAGGGACAGCAAATCTCCCATTACAAGCTTGACTTGTTTGTCCTTGGCTTGCAGGGACAATCTAATTCTTCATCAAGTGGTGTTAAGACCCATAAATAGCACTTTGAAAAATCGAGTTAGGAAGGACCCATAGAAGCTGGATTATTCTATGTAGCAGCAGGTCAGGTGAAAGTAAGTTTTGGAAAAACAAAGCCTTCAATTAGAAGACCGTGCTACTACTATCGGTAGTGAGAGTTTTCAGTTAGAAAGCCAGCAGAGGGCAGGGTAGAAGCTGAAGACAGACTTGCATTTTTTCAATGGACATGTTAGAGCATGTTTTCCTGAGGTATGAAAACCTCACCATTAAAATATGTGGCATTAAACTCGAGTAAGATAGCGCATTCTCCTAGCAAAAGCACCGTGTTACTTCTTACGGTTATAACTTGCGTGTTTGAGGAAACAGTACTAACTGAAGGGGGATTTTTCTGAAGTAGGTTTTGCATAGCTGAAAGTGCTATTTAAAATAAAATCATGTAATAGCTGTTCTGACCCAGCTGGTTATCAGGAAGGTCTTAATATAAGAAAAATCGTAACTCTGAAAAACTCTTAAATAAACATTTGAAAATACAAAAAATGCACTTTCAGAGCATAATTTGCTGTTGTACTTTGAGAGAAACAGTTTGCACTCTGCAAGCAGGAAAAAACTTTGAGGAAAGGAAAAGTTTCATAAATGCAGGCATATGGATTTCATAATCTATTGCACAGATTTAAAAATGGCACAAAATATAATACATGTATTCTTTGCTACCACTTTTCAAACATATACATTTTTATTGATTATTGGGTGTTTCTTTAAAAGAGGTGAAGACTTAAGGCAGGCATTTGCACAGGTAAACAAACAGATTTCTGTGTGTGAGGTAATGAATGCAGTATTTTTTTTTTCCCCCTCTGTCCCACTCATCCTCAGTGGATCTGGAACAGATCCCAAGAAAACACCAAGCAGTGTGGATACCACTTGGCATATGTTTATTCCATTATCTTTCTGTTTCAGGAAGGAGAGCCTGGATAGTGGAAGGGCTTCATTCTATTTTTAATTAATTTTATTGAAATACTAAATTATTTAAAGATGTGCATTTATATTGTGTGTGTGCGCTTTGGCACACACATGCCCTAGGCATTTTTATTTCCTGAACAAAAAAATGTATTTTAGAAAGTTTATGCAGTAAAGAAAAGCAAATTTGCTGATAAGAGTCTTCATCTCAAAGCCGTGGCCAGTCAGTTAAATACAGGGCTTTTAGTCTCTTAAGCATCCTGAAAATAAAAAGCAGAGACATTGAGCGTGGCTTGCGAGCCCGCAGGAAGCCAGACAACAGGTAGGGAGCCTGCATTGCCAAGTGGACCAGCAGCTGTTTTTCGTCCTGTCTGGAGTTTCCCACAGAGTGAACGCTGCGCAGCCAGGGCTAGTGCTTCAGCACCATCCAGCCAAGTGATGACAAAGGTGTGAATAAGCAAGGTCAGGTCATATTTTGCCAGACTAGATCAGAGTCGCCAAGCGGAGAGCAGCAAACGTTACTCATTGGGCTTGGCCATTATTGTTTAGAAATAGTGGAATATGTGATGTGTCTTCCAACTAACTTGCTGCATCTGTTTGTAGGCGGCAGGATTTTCCAAATATGTAAAGGTACAGAAAAGCTTCTGGTGTATGAAATGATTAAGATGTTTTTGAAAAGCATTTCCAAAATTCTCCGCCTCCTAAGAGGAAGTGGTCTGCCATCCAGAAAGTGACGTGTCTGCAAATACACCACGTAACAATGGCATAGGAAGGAAAGTAAAAGAAGAGGAAGAAAAGTAAAAGTAATTTTCTTCTCCCTCACGTGTAGTATAAGCTTTACAACATGGCTGTTATTTTCATTGCTACCCACCTTAATCTAGTTGTTGAAACAAAGCATTGGAGTTGAAGGGAGAGAAGGGTCTCCACACACATAATCATCAGCCTTGGCCAGTCCTGTTACTACAGGAAAGGTGTAAAATGAGCAGCTGCATAAACATCTTAACTGCACAGGAACCTGGCGTTAGCTAGGTTATGATGGTCCAAGGAATCAAAAGTGCTTTAAAAGCCATTCCCAACTTGGTTTACAAACTAATACCTATTCCTGTCTGCTGATGTTTACAATGCAAGCAGTTGTGTGTGCACACTTATTACATGGATGACAAGTGCTTTTCAATGCTGAACATCTTTTCATACATGTTTATATCAGTCATAAATAAAACAGGTAGAATGAAGATATTTTTCCTCTCTGTTACTCATTGTCTGGAGCTGTCGAAGGGATTTTATTTTTTTAAATAATTTTCTTACCTATTTCCCAAAAGAGAACATTCAAAACAAAGTAGTGTTGTAACAGTGATTACTTGGTTAGGTTACAAGTGTAAACCTTTCCAGAAAGTCATCCTGGCACTGGATGATTTAAAGCTCTGGGTACCACATTTGTAGCAAGAGGGAGAGTTTTTAAAACCACAGTTCAGAGCCTGCAGCCAAGCTCTGATCTCACCGATACCAACCAGGTGTGGCCCAGCGAGCTTCAGCAGAGGAATTCCTGAGTTACACTTGGGAAGATGAGACCAGACAGCAAATCCCATGAGTGTTTTTCCTTTCTTCTTGCTTTGGATTTAGGTGTCATCTAGCAGAGATTCTGGACATCTCCCAGAGAACGTCACTGCCAAAAATTACATTCACAGGCATCTGTTTCTGGGCAACAGAGAGAAAATGTTCTTTCTGTTTGATTGAAATTGGAGTTTCCCATCTTCAGTAGTCCTCCTTGGTCTCAGCAAACCATTCGGCTGAAGAGTGGCTTGCCTAGAAAATAACCCCTGTAATCGCAGCATGCATCAGCGTTGCGCTCCTGCTTTTCTTTTGTTCCCTCTTTTAATCAGTACAGTACTTGAGCCTGGACACTGCTAAATACTTACAGGAGGAATGAAATCATAAAGTCACAAGCCATGGGGAGGCAGATATGTGACTACCCTCTTAAAGCATGTCCTTTGACATATCTTGAAGGAAGATTGGTATTTCATCTTTTAAGTATTCCTCCTACACATAACTCTGCCATGTATTGTTAAAAAACAGGATGTTTTGAGCTGGACACTCATTCCTTTGTAATTCCCTTCTGTGGAAATACTTCCCCGTAGCATTTTAAATGCATATATCATCACAGATCTGTCCATATACTCTTCCTCCTGCTCTAAAATGACATAAGCATTGTTTTACCATTAACTACTAATTTGAAATCCAGGCATGACTGATGTGGAAAAGAGCCTGGTAAGTTGCACCACAGTACTCATTCTGCTCACCACAGCGCCCTTTAAAATCTGAGGAAAAATACCTGTTGTAAAGAGAAGGCATTTTTAAAGTATGACCAACGAGTGTGACGATTATTAAACATGAAAGCACTTGGGTTTTAAAAAGCAGGAAAATCTGTAATCTGCGGGAGAAAGTCATGGGCTGAGCATGAGGACACAAGGAGAAGCTGAACTTTTCAGTCATACATCCTGATTTATTTTTTTTTAACCAAGTGAAAGTGCCATTTTTTTCCACTTGGAAGCAATGCTTTTTGATTAACAAGTTGACTCAGATTACTGTGCAGTGCCTATCCTGAGTTGTTAGCTGGGTAGTACCGTATGACTTCATAGATAGTCAACTAGTTGAACATTATCACTACAGTCAGCTGTGCAGTACTAAACCTTGTGTGCTATTAACCAGAAAACACTCAAATCTTCACTACAGCAGGTGGGAGTTTTGTCATGAATTTCACGGGAGAAAAGTTCTTACCCATCGTGGCTGCTTCGTCAGAGTCACTGGAAAATCTCTGTTATTTGAGCAAGATTACAGGCATGTCTCTGCTGAAGCACGCAGCTTTGCTAGATTATCTGGATGACGTCTTGATCTTGCATTCTTTAGTTCTGATAATATTAACACAAGCGAATTAGTCTTTTCATTTCTTGTCTAACCTGGAACCAAATGTGGGAAGTATTTACGTTGGTACTGCTAACTTTGAATTTGTATACAGGATACTTAACCTTTTTTGCTGTTTTATTGTGTATCAGTTTTCCACCAACGAACCACTTCCTGACATTCATCCATACAAATCTTGCTAACTGTAAACTGAGTATTGTTAGGGGCTTGTCATGCTTTATCAAAACATGTTAAATTACAGCTGTTAAGATTAAACGTAGTTGTCTAACACTTCATCTTTTTCAATATTCTCTCTCTACTAGGTGCTGTTCTAGATGAAAGCACTGGAAAGGTGTTGGTTGTACAAGACAGAAATAGGGTAAGTTTAGATAAGCCTACTCTGTAGTATAAAACAAAGATTTTTAAATTTTTATTCCAGTCCAAAATTGCGATGGTTAAAAGTTACTTCCTTTTATGAGTGTCTTGGAACACATCTACCAACAGATTGCTGTACTGCATTTGAAAGAAAAAAAAAATTAGACTTTGAAAATTCACGGCTTTGTTGTGAATCAGCAGAACTAGGTATCCTTTCTGCTTTAAGTTTTCTGTTTTTCCCTGTAACTGACCCAAGAGTCCCTGATCTTGTGTTTGGACCCATGCAGGCCTCTGGAAAACCCCCATGGCTCAAAGCAGATTTTGGGAGAAGGGGTCTCATTTTGTTTGGTGTCAAAAATTCCAGGCATATCTGTGGCTTTAAATAAGCAATAGCATGGATGGCCATGACCCGGAGACCACCTTAGTACAGCAGGTGTAACGATCATTAATTTCTTATGAACTGAAATGCTTGACCTCGCTACCAAGAATCCAAACCAGAGTGTTAGTGCGGTGATGGTGGGTTGTGTGATGTGGTTTGAGGTAACCAAGCATCCATCACTGGTCACATCTTCCAGCCTCTGTGATCAGTCTAACCTAGGTTTTAATACAGCAAGTGCAGAAAGCTCACTAGCTCGTTAGCAGTTGCCTGTGCTATTCCATTTAAAATATACTTAGCTTCCATTATGCTTTCATTTGCAACGTAAATAAAAGCATCACTAGTGCAGTGAGATTAACTGCAATTTTAGCATGGAAACAATCAAAACTTACATACATAAACTGAAGTATACTTGGATGCATTATTTTCATTTTATGTAGTTAAAACTATGCCAGAATCTCACTGGCTACATTTTTCTGTCTTTCCTGAAGTAGCTACTAAGAGGTTTCTTCTCAGGACCCAAAACATCACTTCAGTTCATTGGTAATTACAACACAGTTGAACTTCAATGAAAGGGTGCTTTCATAGCCAGGTTCAATCACACATGTTGAATTTGTAACACAAGCATCCAGGGGAAGAGAAACACCCTTTTCTTGTTTCCTGTAAACCCTTAATTTTATATTTTTACTTACAATCAAGTAAAATTTCAAGGACTTCTCTATAGCAGGACCTTCAGGCTTACATTCAGTAATTATCAATTAAAGCATAAATCCAGCGTGAAAGCTATAGGCTCCGAAAGTGGTTCCACTTCTAGAGAGTCTCCAGGAACAGCACATTGTAAACTACGTTTATTTTTCCTTTCATGCATGCAGAAATCGTAAAACTGCATGCTTACATTTTAGTAAGTATCTTAAACAGGTCTCAGAGTAAAAACGGAAATTGCACATTCTGCATGTTTAGAAGGAAAAAGTAGTTTCCTAAGCCCAGGAGGCTTAAAGTTTAACTTCTTCACGCTGTGGTTTTGTTAAAGCTCACTTACAGCCATTTTAAGTGCAGATCTCTATCCAGTTTTACAGCGAGACATCAGATGCCCTATTCAGGTTCTAGCTCCAATTCTGTACTCACCAGGCATTTACCTCCTTGGCCTCTGCCCCCAAAATGCAAGCGGCCAGTCTGGCACCACTCTTCCCTCCAGCTCATTCTGAAAAGCGGGATGGGTGTATTCCAGGTCAACTACTGCAGCATACCTTTCCAGAACAAAGCTGATCAATAGCGCAGTGAGTGAGGAAAGTGAAAAAGTGACTGTTTCCAACTGCCCCCTTCACAGCTCAATTTTATCCAGTCAATAAAGTATAAAAACTGAAGTGTGTGAATACCCGTACATTTCTTGTGTAGTGAGCAAGTAAAGTATCTCAGTGCAAGCAAATTGGCTCAGACAGTTGTTTCCCACTGTTGATTCCACCACTTTTCTCCCTTCTCCTTCCCCACGAAATGAACAATTTCCCTGAAATGATGACTTTTAATACAAAGGATGTTCTGAAAGCTTAAAAAAAAAAAATTAACAGCTAGTGGAATTTTAAGAACTGTTTGGGTTTAATCATGAAAGGACAATTCCACAGCACACAAAGAAAGATTTCCAGGAACTGAAAGCAAATCTGAAAGCCAACAGACAAAGTACGTATTTTCCATCTGCACTATTTTTAATCTATTACTTTAAATTTCTATCCAGGCCCTTTAAGAGTGCCCAGAAAAAAAACCATTTTCCAGTGTAGTCGGTGGGGTTTCAAATCACTGGCAAGCACACAACTTCCCTCTCTATGCTGCACATACAGAAAAGCGCTACCTTCTGGTTTTTTACCAGTGTACCTTTTTACTGCATTAATTTCTAGTTGAAGGTTAACTTCTTCCTACATAAACTTTTAATAAGAAAAGAAAGAAAAAGAATAGTACACAGATGTAAAGGTAAAGCCCACAAATCTTTGTGCATTTGCAAGAGGTGTAGGAACTGGGACTCCTTTACCAGTATCAATAACAGCACCAAGTCCGCAATTCACGTTCTAGAGTACTGAACTTTATTGCAATTCAATAAATGCTTCTATATATAAATCACACACAAAGCCTCAGTTTCTGTATTCCATGAAAACAAACAAGTTACACTAAATGGTTATTATGGACACACAAAGTTATCTTAAAGCCAGTGCAGTATAGAACAGTACTACAATCATAATACCTGTTTGTAAGATTAAATATATATACATTTTTTAAAAGCCAAAACCATGGAAGTGGAATACATTAGTGATTAAATATAAGATTATATAGTCTATAGCAGCTTTTTTTAAACATTCAACTACTCTTATCTAGTTATCTAGCAGCAACGTTGTCTAATGACTGTTAGACAGTTTGTATTTTCAATCAGTAGATGTTTTGTTCCAACATTTCATACAGACTGTAGATCTCTCTGATCATCACATTAGCGAGAACAAAGAAGTTCCTACTTAAAGCCTTACTGTTGTTTGTAAGAGTAATTACAATACTGCAACTTCAACCAAAAAAAAAAAAGTCACATGTTAATTGTCTCCTTCCTATTAGAGAGTACAACACAGGCTGCAAACTTCATTAATTTTTTTTTTCCTCCAATACAGACTCTAAATGCGTGGAAATTTCCAGGAGGTCTGTCTAATCCAGGCGAAGACATTGGTAAGTCCTAGGATAACAGGTCAGACGTCAACAGAATTATAAAGACATTAACGGTAAGCAAATAGATAGTGACCCACATCACTCCTATGACTAATCACTTCTTTGAATTAATGGTGAGTAGATGAAGTGACATGGTCCCGTGACCTTCATGGTAATCGGGTAACATTATGTTCAGGGCAGAGAAGTTTTGTATTTGTAACATTTACCCTTTTGCACAATTTCCTTTAAGTGAGTGCTTGAAGCCAGCTTATTTTTTGTAGGCTCGTTGGATACACCGTAATATGAGCCAAAAGTGCAGAGGATTAAGGTAATCAGTATATAACCCAAACAAAACTGAAACGTGGAGCTCTCCGCTCACACTGGAATCCAAGGCAGCGAGCTCAATGATGTGCTGAGCAAAAAGTTCCAACTCTCCATTTTTATGTGCAAAACAGAAATAAATACACTTGCTTCCTTCCACCCTTGTCCATTTGATTTGTTTAGACTAAGAGCTCTTTGGCACAGGACCAGCGTTAAGTGCAGTGCCTCGGTCTTGTGGGCACCTACTTTCAACTGGAGACATAAGGCACAAAAGGCACAACTGGAGACATAAGGTATTAAAAAACAATGCTGATTGGAGAAAACCTCTAGTTTCTACCCAGCGCAGCACAGGTGATGATGAACACTGCTGCAGTTATATTCAGAGCTGAATGAACAAGGGTGTTTACAAAGAGAGAGAAAAATTGTGCTGTTTCTCTTTGTATCTCGCCCCTTCAGATTATGATGATTAATTCTTAAGTTATACTGCAGTTATTAGGTAGGTCTTGTTTTCAAAAGTTACATTTGCTCACGTTAATTTAGCCCCACATCAGTATTCAGATATGAATATATTCTTCCAATACCTTAAAAATGCAGAACTCAAACATGTTGCCCAGAGCAATGCAGCAGCTCTGGCGAACTGGGTATCCAGCCCAGGTTTCCTGACTTTTTCATACTTTAGAAATAATCTACTATTTTATCAGTCTCCCTACAACAATGTGTGGAGGGCTTCTATTCCAGTTCATCATTTCAATGCATGGAAAAAATTTCTAGTTAGCGGGATACGGCGGAGTTGTTGTTTTCAAAACTCGTGAGTCACGTTTTAAAGTCTTTTTGTCAGACATGGTGATAAAAATCAAAATTACTTGCTTGACAATGCAAATACACATAACATAGTGAAACGGATTCATGTTTTTGGAAGAATCCCGAACTCCGTGTCTGTTATCTAGCCAGGCTCCTTTTCAGATCTAGTGACTGCAAGCGGCTCTAGGCCAGGAGATCCTGAGGGATATTGCACCAGGGGGAAAGAACACCCAGCACTGGCAATGGCTTCCCCAGAGAAATACTGTTACTGGGTAAGCCAGTGGCCATCCCGCAAGTAACAGGTGAGATTATGGCTGGAGCCTGGATGTAGGTACTGAGAAACACCTGGGAGGAAACACGTCTCTTACAGCTCCTCTCCTGCCGCTACTAAACTATATAATAATAATAATAATAATAATAATAATAATAGAAGTTATGATTCTCTGCATCACATCTTAATATTACAAGAAGATATAAATTAGTGAAGCATAAAATATAATAGAGCTTAATTTCCCTTTTTCCCCCCTTATTTTATCCTTACATCAAACCTTATAAACTCACAGTCATTCGAGGGACTAAATTTCAAATTACAATTACAAATTGCAATTACAATGCTTGAAGATCCTGTGATTATATGAAGTGACAAAATATATGGCTGCCTACTTTAATGAGAACAAACTGACTCACACAAGTAATCGGAATAGTTTCATAATGCAGGTTAAGCAAAGTGCACACATTTTTGTATTTGAGTATTTCTGAAACTCAAGCCCTACTGTTTCTTCTAGTTTGTCATTTTTTTAATATACACACATTTAAATAAAAGGGAAACAGAAAAAGGCACTTTATCTAAAAGCAAAGCTCAAAGCTTAAATGAAATCCCTAATTATTTCATTTTTCTTAACTATAGCCTGCCTCAGCGTTCCTCATGCTCTCAGCTGTTTACCTTCTTTGACCACTTTTGTATAATACAGCCCCTCGCCCAATAATAAAACCACTTGCCACAGGCAGTTTGCTTCACAACCACTATTTTAAACCAGAGGACCGCAGAGGCCTCTCTGGGTAAAATGCAATCTGTATTGTACACAATATGTATTGTAAGGATTGCTCTTTTCACCTAGGAGACACAGCAGTTCGAGAGGTTTTTGAAGAGACTGGCATCAAGTCAGAGTTCAAGTCCATCCTAAGCATAAGACAGCAACACAAACACCCTGGCGCCTTTGGGAAGTCGGACATGTACATCATCTGTCGCCTGGAGCCCTCCTCCTTCCACATCAGCTTCTGCCCTCAGGAGTGCCTGAGGTGTGAATGGATGGACCTCGATGAGCTGGCTAGGATGGAAGACGCTACTCCCATCACCAGCAACGTAGCTAAACTCTTACTTTATGGATACCGGGAAGGGTTTGATAAAATTGATATAACCATGAGAGAGTTCCCAGCTGTCTACACAGGCCTGTTCTACAAACTATACCACAGGGAGCTGCCCGAGTCCTACAGAAACATTACATGATAGCAATACATTTCACATTTCATTATATTAATAATTTAGAATTATCATTGTAGTGTTATATAGACCATATTAAAATTAACTATGGACTTCTTTTTAGGTCATTATTAGAAAGTAATTATTTACTCTATTCTCTAAGAAGCTATAGAGAGATGAATTATATTTAAAGGTAAATATTGCTGTAAGTGTGCATCAGATTTGTTTTCCTTTACTCTGTAAAGCAAACATTAGGTAAATAAACCAGCTCTACATAGGTACCTAGCAGAAAACAGAAGTGTTATTGGTCCGGAAAATGTATTTTCCGAGTAATTTTACCTCCACACACACTGGCACAATAGGTTTAAAGAGCAATATAAAGACAGTATGAAACATTCATGTTTTAATCTGGTATCTGCAAAAGTAGTTAGTATCAGCAAATAATTGCTTATATTCTTGCTACTTCAGAGAGGAGTAGGAAATTTGACATCTTCAGTGTAGCGTGGCATATGTGCTTGGAATCCGCCATGGAAATCAGCTTTTAGCGGACATGGGAAGAAAAAGGATAGCTTTCTGTCCAGGTCCAGTTTTTGGTCCAGGTTTGTACTGTCCAGTTCTTTTCAGTGCCACATACCAATCAGAGTATTTCCGTGATCGGTACGTGTTATAGTTATTAGATTCCAAACGCTCAAAAAAGAAACATTCTTCTGTGGCACATTTCTAAAAGGGAAAAAGAAAAGGATTATTGATACTCCATCACAGATCAGTTCTTCAGATTCATGGGACTAACTTACCGAGAATGTAAGTTAACAGTACGTTTGCTTTTAAGAAACTCACATGAAACGTTTCAACTTTGAAGAAAGATACAGTTATTGTGAAAATATTGTTAAGAACACCTACAGGAAGAAGACATTTTAGCTATGGCTCATTTCTTGTCCTGTAACACAGCCCAAGCAGATTCTAGTTTGTTTTCGCTATGTAAATCTTTGTTCTGATCTGAAATTCAAACAATTAAATGAAGAACCCTGTCCCTTGGCACTTGCTGACTTCCAAGCTCGGCATCTCCTCCTAGGTTACAATTTAACCAAAAAGAAAAGCAGGATGTGAGAGAAAAGGCAGTATTTCCCTTGCCTTCTTTAAACCAACCTTTTTATCCATTAGATAAATAGCATGGCATAGAGTTTCAGCCTTTGCCTATTTTTTCTGATTTTGAGGTTTAACGTCCCTAAAGCTAATTCATGCCTGTATTTATAGCACTCTGAAACACTGGCAAGCCTGCATCTATTCAAGATTTTTTAAATTTCAAAACTTTTAAAATAATTTTAAGAAAAGATCAGAGCTGGCAAAGAGGTCTACTCCACATAGAAACCAAGCATACTCTACTGGTGTTTAGAAGTACATCTGTGGAATTAAGTCTGCTTCTGGAAGTAAGTCTTCAAAAGCAACTCCACCTGCATGGAATCAACATGCCTTCACACTTACAAATAAGAAGGAAGGTGGTTCTTCACACAGCGGGTGAAAGGTGAGCTGTGGACCTCCTTACCGTAGGGAGTTATGGTTTCCCCCAGCTTATGTGCATTCAAGTCACTTCTGGACAAGTTCATGGAAAAAAAAAATCCACTGACATTTACTAAATAGGTAAAAAAAATTCTTGGCTCAGAAGGCCCCGAAGCCGAGAATGGCTGGAGGCTGGGAGACCAATACAGGGAATTACTACGTATGTCTTGTCTTACACGCTGCATTTGATCACCATCAGATACAAGCTACTCAACTGCATACAAAGCCCTCAAAAGGTAAGCCTGCCGTCGATGACTATACTGTGAAGCACTTTCTTCCGCACGTGGCAGGAACCGCTGCTCCCTCGAGGTGACCATACTGAAGAGAAGGAGTCTTCATTTTCAGATGATTCCACTCCTCCCAGTGAGATGACATAAGGCAGGCATTATCTATGGCAAGACTTTACTCCACAAGTTTTCCTGGATTGTTGTTTTTGCCTGGAGGACTTAGAACCCAGCTGATTCAACAATGACTAGTATTTCTAGCTGTTCACAGTCACCTGGAAATGGGAAGGTTTATTCCCTTTCTGAAATCTACCACCAAGAAGCCACATAGTTCCTCTGTATCGCAAACATAAGAGGACATACAAACAGCTTCAAGTCAGGTCTCATCCTACAGGAAGATGATCACTATGGGTGTTAGCTGCATTTGTCCCAAGGCATGCTCACAGCAGCAGAAGCTCTGTCAGTGGATCACATCGCTCACAGCTGTCAGTGGCAAACCTGCCGGCAGAACCGACGCTTAAAGCAAGAGAAAGTATTTTCTCAAATACAAGGATGGCAGAAGTTCAACACTGCAGGAACTTCCTGGGGAGGTGTCAGGGGGCACTTTCTTTTCATAGACACTGTCTGTCAGTCCATCAATTCAGTCATACTCACTCACCTAGAAAATGTTGGGGAATGCCAGAGGAGGAGAGAACCTAGTCATTAAAAAGAAAGGATGTAAAATCTTGGAGAGGAGACGGAATGTGAAGCAATCCCCTAAAAGAGCAGTTACCCTATTAAATCTTCCGTTAATATTCATGAGTATATAAAGAGGGCTTGGAACAGCTACATACAGTATGCACAAAAACACAGGAGAAGAGTAACTCCTCATCTATGCCAAGTTTCTGTAGCTACAAGCACTTAAGTCATTCAAATGCAGTCTGGAATAAAGTGATCTGTCTCCAAACATATGTCTTCAAACAGAAAGTTCCTCAACTTCAACTATTTTCAGATACAAATTTTGGTTTCTGTGGAAAAGAACTTAGAAGAGAAGATCCATATGCAATTTCTCATTTCTGTAACTAATATTTTTACATTTCAAATAGCAGAAATCAAATTAACAATTTTCATGATTTATATTTGAAATAATCTTTCTCAAGATAAATCGTAATTTAATGCCTTTTGTTCCAGCAATGTGAGAACAGATGCATTAATCATCTCAAGCCACAGATCCAAGCCTGAAATGGATTACAGCAGCCTTAAGAGGGCACAGAAACTGTATAAAGAAAAGAAGCATTTAAGAACAAAAACAAACTTTAAGCCAAGTTTAGGCAAGTTCAGTACAATTGCCCAAGCTGGAAATCCTGGCAAAGAGACCATCGCAGCCAGCTCACGCCTCGCCTTCGACCTGAAGCGGTGGCACTTTTGGAAGTGCTGAGATAGCGGGCACCAGGCAGGCGGCATGGGCGCTGGGGAGAGGTGCTGGGCAGAGTACAGCCTCTGAATACCGCAGCGCCTGGTTTCTCTACACACACTTCCCTGGCAAACCCCGTCAGGTACGGCTCTGGAGCTGGGACGGTAGATCAGCTGCCTACCACCGGCGGGAACCGAGTCTTTACAACCTCCACAAGGAAGGACATGGTTTCCAGCATGCCCGTGGTGAAGTTAAGTGGCCGCTACAAGACCCCACATCCAGCCAAAAGGCAAATTCACACAATCTCCTCTCCTATGCACTAAATCCACAAATTAAACACAATCGCAATTCAAAGAAACGCATCATTTTTATTTAGGCTTTCTCCTATCTCTCAGGTTTAAAAAGTAAAATAGATTAAACTCCTCAAACAGATTTTCAGGCAATTTATGGGTGTAATAAAATAATCAAGAAAGGGTGAAAAAAGAAAAATATAGATAAAAGAAAAAATATATTTTGAAAGGTGTCATGTGATTCTCTCTGGACACTCAAGTCCTTATGTCTCCACAAAGTGTACATGATATCCGTGCTTTCCTACAGGATGTTGCCAATGTAAATATTTTGACATAAAAGTGAACATTTAGGTGACAAATGATAGTTCGGGGCTTCATGAACTATGTATTCCTTAACACCTGCCAAAGGTGACATTTCGGAAGCTGGACTGCTGTCCAGCAGGCA